AAATATCAAATTCTGTCAAATAAAATTAGCTTTACACAGAATTTCTAGAGCAGTAAACCAAACATGCTACAATTTATTATTAATTATTATTTTTTGTTGTCATTATTTGCTGCTTGTGGTGGCGGTGATGGCTAGCTACTATTTTTTTCTATTAATTAAAAAACAGTTTGGATGGGGCACTTGGGTGGCTCAGTTGGTTGAGTGTCTCCCTTGATTTTGGCTCAGGTCATGTCTTGTGATTCGTGAGATGGAGCCAGTGTAAGGCTCTGTTGTGACAGGGTGGAGCCTGCTTGAGATGTTATCTCCCCTTTTCTCTGCCCCTCCCTAGCTCTTTCTCTCAAAATAAGTAAATAAATATTTAATAAATTTTTAAAAAGCAGTTTGGAGCATTTTTTTTATATACCAAGCACTATTTAGGGTTCCTAGGGATACCAAGGCTCAGAATGCAACACAGAAGGAAGATATGTAAACAGTAATTTAATATGACAGTTTATGCTTTAATAGAAGTATGTGTAACTGTGGGGCTAATCTTCAAGAAGGTGACTGTATTTTCCTCAAAGTCTATCACAGGCTGTGTAAAGCTTGAAAGTCCACAACTTTGGCTTAAAGCTAGCATAATGTAGTAGAAAATAATACCTTGATGAGTAGTCAGAAAAGTCACATTTGAGTTATAGTTCTTTCACTTACTATAGGATTTTGGACTAGTCTCTCAGTCGCTAAACTTATTTCCTCAATTATAAATTAGGGGCAGTAGCTGCCTTACAGGCTATGATGGGGATCAAATGAAACTGTAAGAAAGTGTCTGTGATCTTTAATGCAAAAAAATTCTACATTTTGCCTTTTGTTTAGAAGGTATTATTAGTATTAAACACCAATGCACTATTCAATTCACTCAGTGTTTACTGTGTTTCATGGTTGTGCTGCTGGGAAGATGTGCTAGAGAAAGTGCTCATTGTTTGAAAGTGGGCTGATAGATGCATGCATATCTACTTATTCCCTAAACACAGTGAAAAGAATGAAAAGGAAGTAGGGAGTGGTTGTCTGAGAAGTGGAGAAGGAAGCAGAACTAAAGCCGGTTGGGAAAGGTACCAAGTACAAATTAACATACAAATGTATGCATTCACAAATATACTTAGAGTTCTCCTGATCAAGACAGTTTATTAAATATTAAATATGTGCATTCAGTGGTGTGCTGGTAAATATTTAAAAACCAACTTTCTTGAAAAAAAAAACACATTATATATACTACTTGCTGATTTCTGTAGTGTCAGTACCCCTACCATGACTAATTTCAAGTTACTAACATGACATCCCTGAACAGGGAGTTAGGAAGGGATGCATTGTAGCACACCCTTATATATGATTTCCATCACAGATATAAGAGACATAAATAAACTCAAGAGTATAAATAATAACAAAATAGGAGTTTTGAGTTCTTGTTAGCTTTATTTTAAAAATCATTCGTTTAAATGCAGTTCAATTTTACATAATTTTTAGAAATGGCTGGGTTGAACATCCAGCTTGTAAAATTCCTGAAAATGTAACCATCAGCTCTCAAGAGCCTGTATGAGCCAGAGGCGGCATAACAATGGATATACTGGTAATTGCACTACTATGGTACTAGTTACAGTAAAGATCATCACCTCTTCTGGGAAGACCATCTGTATGAGGTGCCTTGTCTGTATTCCTACCATAATCTCCTAAATATCAAAGCAATTACCACATATGTTGAAATCTCATTTCTCTTCCTCACACTTGAGTTCCCAGTGACTATGAGTTTGAACTCCTTGTCTTCTGTATCTAGCACAGTCCCTTGTTCCTGGGACAAGATCAACAATGCATATTGAAGAGATAAATTGACCTTTATCTGGCTGCTGTTCTCCAGGAACCCACCATCTATTATTATGGACACACAGCTGCAGAATACATATACAATTTAGTCAAATCTCTGAATAAACAAGTGAATGGATAATAAATTTTTCATATAACCTACAAGTGGATTTTAGTGGGATGGAAAATAACAGGAATTATGGATCAATGAGTAAAGATATAACAGTTTTTTTCCTACCCCTAGCATGATTAAAACAGAACGAAACCCCCAAACACCACCATGTTTCCTTATCTTGTTTACTTAATGATGTTGTTTTAATGTTCACATCTTTAAGAGGTAAAAGCAACACATATCTGTTTATAGAAAAATTACTATATGTAGAAGCATAAAGACATAAAAGCCATCTGTATTTTATAAGATTGATATATTCTTGAGGATGGGTTAAGGCAATAGCACCTGGTAATCACAAAAAATTACAATGGCTTAGCTAATAATTGGAGGTTTGCAGACTGAGATTGGTGTGGTGGTTGGTTCTGCTCCCAGGTCCTTAGGGGCTCAATTACCCTGCAGCTCATGGCTTTGGTCATCCCTGGGATGTGGTCCCATCCCTCATGGTCCAAATCAGCATTCACCCTCGCAGAAGCAGGATGGGATAAAGAAGAAGAGGCACAGGACTAACAGTTTTCTTAAGAAAACTTCCCATAACTTGCTCTATGGGATGTCCATTACATCCCATTTATTAGAATGTAGTCATAAAGTCACATTTAGGTGTGATGGAACCTGGGACATGCAGTCTTTATTCTCAGCAGGTATGTGCTTAGCTAAAATTTCTATTACCACTGACGAAAGAGAAAGTAGACTTTTAGGGCCATCTGCTGGGATTTGCTAAAAGTTACTTCCTTAGTTAAACTGAAAATAGAAGAATAGCTAGGTTAGAAGTTATGCCCATTTTCAAGGTTTCTGATGCATATGTATGAATTTCCCTTCAGAAGCTATGTATACATTTGTACTCCCAAAGACATCTATGAATACTTAACATTAAACACCCACACAGTAATGGATCAGTTCATTCAGTGTTCGCTATATGGCTTTGTGGAAGATATGATAGAGAAAGTACTCAGTGTTTGACAGACCTGAGATTTATTGTGAGAATGCTTTCAGCAGCAAGTGACAAAAGAGCTGCCAAGAGTGTTGATTCTATTCAGATAGTGAGGCGAGTGAATTAAAGAAAGGTAACTGTATAGTATTTGTTGGAAACTGAAGTTGAAGAATTTAAAAGGAAGTTTTTTCTGAAGAGGAATGGAAATGGAGGATTATATAGGTAGTTGTAAAAATTTTGAAAGTATATTATGTCCTCTTAATCTCATGGAGGAGGTTTCCACATATACTTTCATCAACCGCTATATTCCAGGCAATATCCTAAGTGCTTTATATACATTCTCTTACTAAATTCCCACAGCAGCCATATATTTTTATATATCCATATTTTACACATGACAAAGCGAAGTCTCAGGAGAGGTCAAGTTAGGGGTGGAGTCAGAATTTAAACCTCACTCTGTCTCATTTCAAAGTCTTACTTTTCCTTCTACTATAAAGAGTGAACTGATTAACAAAAAACAAACAAACAAGTTTGGTAAGGGTCATTTTGCATATTGAATTAACATATTAATTTATTAACCCAGAGCTTATATCCATAAAAAGACATTTTAAAATCTTTAAAAATTATAAAAGAATTATAGAGAACAGTGAAATGTTGTAAAGGGGAGGAAAGACCTCATGAGATTTTGTCTTTCCTTTTTATTTATTTATTTATTTATTTATTTATTTATTTATTTTATTAAATTTTTTTTTCAACTTTTTTTATTTATTTTTGGGACAGAGAGAGACAGAGCATGAACGGGGGAGGGGCAGGGAGAGAGGGAGACACAGAATCGGAAACAGGCTCCAGGCTCCGAGCCATCAGCCCAGAGCCCGACGCGGGGCTCGAACTCACGGACCGCGAGATCGTGACCTGGCTGAAGTCGGACGCTTAACCGACTGCGCCACCCAGGCGCCCCTGTCTTTCCTTTTTGACCTGAGTTGCATACTTGCCTCTCTTTTCTTATAGAACCTTGTGTTCATTCTAAGGCTGACAGTTCTCATCTCTATTGTGTTGTCTATTTATATTGTTGTCTCTGCCACCAGACATTTCTTGAGTGCCCGGTCTTTGTATTCTTAGAGCCTACTGCATTGCTTGGAATGTAGTAGGTGTTCAGTAAGGATTTACTGAATGAGTTATACAAACATTCATTTTATGGTCATATTAACACATTGGCTAATGGAGAATTTTTATTAATTTAATATTATACCAAATTTTAAGAGGTCTACAATGATAACTAGTATAAAATTATGGTTTTCACTCTGGCTATGAAGAGGATATTATAAAGCAACCGAACTTGTGAATATTATTGTCTACATCATGTCAGGCTATTTTGAGGGTTCAACATTGTATTTACTTATTTGTCAGGAAAACCTTATGGGTTAAAGAGAATTATCACCTCCACTTCAAAAACCAGTACATGAACCCGGGTAGTTCTGCTTTAAAAATTCTGTTTAACAACTAGGCTGTTTTAAGTCGTCGTTGGTTATGAGATCTATTATCATTTATTATTATTCCTTTGCATGACTCCATAAGAGCATCTTCTAATGAAAACTCACGGATCTTCACCCTGTTTTGTCAACCAGAGCTTCCTTTCCGCTTGGGGCACAAACCCTCCAAGAGGAAACCTAAGTATTCTAGGAAGTTGCTGCTTTTATACGTGAGCAACCTCTACTCCACCCTACCAAACCAATGAGTAATTTGCACTCGACATTATTCATTACTAACCTTAGTATACAGGGACTCTAATTTTAGATTATTTCCCCAAACACATCCACTTGCGCCTTTCATGTGTCTTCCACACGCGAGAGACTTCCAAGCGCGCAGACACGCCCGCATCTCGGCGGACGCGGCGCTGCAGCTTTCTTGCCGGTGAAACTACACTTCCCAGTGGTCTGTTCGTCCGCGCGAACCCATCTTTCCCGGATCCGGGCGGCAACTCGGAAAAACTAACGACGCTTTGCGGGGCAGTGTGGGTGGGAGAAATAAAGGGCCGACGGGCAAGGCCCTACTGTACTCGCGCACCCCAAAATGGCTCGGAAGCAGGACGAGCAGAGAGGGGGCGCGCCCTTGATGGCGGAAGGCAAGTCGGACGCGGAGGTTAGGCTCATTCTGTACCACTGGACACATTCTTTCAGCTCTCAAAAGGTAATTACAGGCCTCTGCTGGGGCGGGCGGCGCGGCTCGGGTTTCAGCACCGGGACAGCTCCCTCAGGGCTCTCTCGGGTACTCCGGCGCATCTGCAAGTAGGCCCCTAAAGCCCTAACCCGGGCAGGCGCTCCCTGAGGGCAGGGATGCGCGCTGTGAGGGAGCTCGGATGATCAGTCTGGGATGGAAAGGGTATGACTCAGGCTTTGCCACTCATGAGATGCGACAAAAAACAAAAAACAAAAAACATCACTTTAGGTATTCGGGCAGGAGGCCTTGTCCCCTGGGCTTAGGGGAGTGAGGCAGAGGGAAGTTCCTTCATGCAACCACATGCATAATTTACAATTCCTTCTTTTACTCTTTCTGGTACGCATTCGCTCTCGTCAACAAGGCCTAGCACATCTATATATCAGATTCTTGTCTGGGGAGGACACATAATTAGGTTTAGGACGCAAAGATAGTAGTGGTGATGAAGAGTCACTGTGGAATAAATATAGCCAGAATTATTTTCATTCCTTATTTTATTATCCTAATTTATATGAGTAAGATGCTAGAATATATCTCACTTGTTAATTCCTAGACTAGGAATAGTTAAAAAGAATGTGGAGAATATTAATAACGTAGGGAAGCACAGAAAGTCTGCTTAATGGTATCCAGGATGTCATTTAATTCAAAGCCTACATGTGTTGTAGTAACCAGTGTGAACTCTTTCAGGTGCGATTGGTAATTGCTGAAAAGGCATTGAAGTGCGAGGAACATGATGTAAGTCTGCCCCTGAGTGAGCACAATGAGCCTTGGTTTATGCGTTTGAACTCAACTGGAGAAGTGCCTGTCCTTATCCACGGGGAAAACATTATTTGTGAGGCCACTCAGATCATTGATTATCTTGAACAGACTTTCCTGGATGGTAATGTTAAGGCTATTTGTGATTTCTTGGATTTACTTTCAACACAAATATGTATGTCCCCCCTTCCTTCTCCCTTCCTTCCCTCCTTCCTTTCCCCCTCCCTCCCTCCCTCCCTTCCTTCCTTTTTTGGTTTTATGATGATGGTTTCATGCTAAAAACCTTTTCCATTTCCATAAGCACACAAATATAAAATAGGTCAATACCATAAATTTTATGTAAGCCAGTGTAACTCCATTTAAAAGAATTTATATAAACTACAAATTTTAATGTTGGAACTTTCCTTTTAAATTCACTTCCGAAACACCTCTGTAGGTGTGTGGTTTGTGGTGATGAATTTTTAGCCTCGAAGTAAAAGTTCAGAATTATTTGAAATGTACACTATGAAAATCAGCTTTATATAGTCTACCAAATAGTTCCACCTTAAACACCATAGGAGAAAAAAAGAGGAATCAAATGTAGGCAGGGGAGAATAGAATGTTGGTATATGTGGAGATCTTTGCTCTATAGTTTAAATTTATATCTTTTGTGAAGAATTTTAAGACTTAACTTTGTAAAATGCTTTTAAGTAATAATCATTTATTGACAGCCTGTTTTATGTCAGGTGCCTTATAATTCTGTTATATTTAGTCTTCAAAAGAACCCATCTGAGACAGGCATGATGGACTAGTTATTCCCACTGTACATGAGGAAAGAGAAACAAAGCAGTTGCCTTTGTTTGGTAATGCAGATATTTAATGGCAGAGTGGGGCTGAGATGCAGGTCTTTCCTATCCATACCTTCATGTTATACCAGTTGTCTCCCATAGTCATTGCCACTTGTGTATCATCTTGCTTGCTCCTGATGACAATCCTTTGAGATGAACCAAATCTTGAATATTTGCCAAAGATCATACAGCTGATCACTGGCACAACTGAGAGAACAGAAGGCTCCTAGCTTTCAGCTGAGTGCTCTTCTGAAAAAGAAGCTACATGAGATCTAGTTGCTTTCCATCTGCCACTAGTTACATTGATGTTAACTGGGCAGGATAAAACCAGAATATAACCCCACATTCCTGGAAACTGAGAAAGGAACTTACTAGGCTAAAAAAGTGCCTGAGGTACTTAGAAGGAAAATAGGTATGGGACCTAAAAGTGTGTAGAGGGAACCCCAGGGAATTAGATTGACAGTGGGCTGCCCCTATTCTTATTCCGAGTGTTTGGTTTCCTAGGATTCTGATTGGAGGTTTTAATTAGAGTTGGCCATTGGTGTAAACCGAAGAATTATTTTCTTTTTAAGATTAAAAAAAAAGTTTATTTATTTTTGAGAGAGAGAGAGAGGGAGGGAGGGAGAGAGAGAGAGAGAGAGAGATAGAGCAGGGGAGGGGCAGGGAGAGAGGGAGACAGAATCCTAAGTAGGCTCCACGCTGTCAGCACAGAGCCAAACACAGGCCCAAACTCTTGAACTGTGAGATCATTATCTGAGCTGAAACCAAGAGTCAAATGCTTAACTGACTGAGCCACCCAGGCACCCCTAAACCAAAGAGTGTCATGAACTGTTTCTCCTTTATAATTACTTCCTATTCTTTATATCTATATGCTGGGGACAGTACTGAAAATGGTGGCAAATTGATTTAAGACAATTTTTCTCAACCTTGAGCTTTTTGGAAATGGACAGGTCTGTTAAGTAATTTGTATTTCTTGAGAGAAGTGGTTATAATGTGAGTAAAGCAAAATCATGGTATAATAATTCTGTTTTAAATCATCAAAAGTCTCCAAAAGATACATAAATGGAAAATCATACTTAAATATCTTGTTGGCATCCTTTGAACTACTATTGCTAACCATTCTCCACTTCTTTCTCCTCTTCTTGCATTCTTTCTTCTCTAAGATATTCAGTAATATAAAATATGTTACTTTACAACATGGTAATGATGATTATTAGGCTTTCTTAAAGTGTTTGTTAGGCTTTTTCTTTTACTTTGATTGTATAAAAACAAAACTGAAATACATTTTGAGCCCTACTCAAAGAAGGGAAATATTAAATTCTTCTTCTTACTACTTATGGAATCAGAGGAGAAGGCACTGTGGGCTAAATGTTAAGATGAAAATATGGAAACTAAGGACTTTAACTCTGGCTATACCAATAGAATAAACAATCAAGGATCCTAGCTCTTAGTCTGAAGTTTTGGCTAACTTGTTGCATATCCTTGGTGACTTGCCTTCTCTGTTTATCCTCTTAGATTAGGTAATAGGGCTTTATCGATTGCAGAGATAAAGCAAGTCCAATAAACTCTTACTTCACTCTTTTCTCTTTCCCAGGAGATTAGTCACTCCATTGGGAAGAGTTAAAAGAAGATTATGGGACCCCAAACACTTAGATATGAAGACAGCAAGAAAAGTTATATAAATGAAGGCTAGTCTATTTAATTCTTTTTTAAATGTTTATTTATTTATTCTGAGAGAGGGAGACAGAGAGAATGAGGGAGGGGCAGAGAGAAAGGAGAGAGAGAATCCTAAGCAGGCTCCATGCTAAGTATAGAGCTTGATCTTAGGAACCCCGAGATGATGACTTAAGCTGAAACCAGGAATTGGATGCTCAACTGACTGATTCACCCAGATGCTCCAAATGAAAGGTAGTCTACAGATGAAGTTTATCCCAAAGTATTAAAATAAAAAATAAACGTGTGGGTTATCACAATTATCATTAAGATAATTTATATTTGTCATTAAGAACTTATGGATATTAGGAAAAGAACCAGACAAGACAGATATTACTATCCTAATTGTCAAGGATGGGGTAAAGTGAATTCTAGCAATCCTTGCTACTTAAAGTGTGTTCCATTGACCAGCTGCATTGATATCACCTGGAACTTGTTAGAAATGCAGACTCCTAAACTCTACTGCAGATCTCTTGAATCACAATTTGCATTTTAACAAGATCCTTAAGTGATTCATATATAAAGTTTCAGAAGCACTAATGCAAATTACTGTGTGTTAATTGCTTAAGCTTTAAGCAGCACTATAAATTACTTATATATACACACATATATAATTTTATATATGTCTATACACATATATAACTTTTGAGTATCTCCGTTAAAAGGAACCAGCCTAAGTTTTACATTACTGAAGAATGGCTTTAACACCTAAAAAAAAAAAAAAAAAAGAATCTATTGTGTACTGGGCATGGTTCTAGATATAACGTATCTTGGTTTAAGTAGAGCACTTCAGATTGTCTCAGAAGATACCCTTGTGGAACGAAGGACCAAATATGGCTGATAAAAGTGATGTACATTCAAACCACCATACTGAAGAATATTTATTTATAAATGTCTTACACATGTTGCCCATTTAGCTAAAGATTTATCCTATATAATTTTATTACATTTATTTCAATTACTGGTAGACCACGGTAAACACCATAAGGTCAGAGGCAGTGTCTGTCTCACTAACAGCTGAATCCCCAGTTCTTCATATAGTGCTTCATATAAGCTCTTTAACAGGAGCTTAATTAATACTTCTGAATGATTAAAATGAATCATTAAAATGATTAAAATGAACTTTTGAAAATAGACGTGAGCCTGGACAGGGATCTCTACTGATGTCCTTATAGGTTTCTGTTCTCTGACTTGAGCCTAACAATTCTATAAATGACTTGAATAAGACATTGTGGAAATAAGGGATGACAAAAGCTGGGATAGTTAATGGCTAGCTTGTGAAATGTTTGTCATGGAACAATAAAAGGGAAAAATAATTAAGATGAAGTTTAACAAGACTAAATGTAGTATGTGAATTTTATTTTTAAAAATCGGCTGCATTAATGAAGGATGGGAGACCTAGCTTGCTAAAAAGTTATCAATAATTTAAGCTAATAATAAAAGGCTGGTATGATCTGAAGTTGTTTTAAAAGTATAGGTTCTATCTGGAACATGGCAAATTGTGAACTGGTCAGAATATGCAACATTTTGTTCAATTATGAGTGGAACTTAAAAGAACATTTACAACTTAGAATAATGAGTGAATTGATTTCATGAGATGTATAGTTGCCCATGGTTATAAGAGGAGAGTTTAAGTGAATTTATTCACCTGAAGAATATAGTCAACTGGTATCTCTTTTGCTGTTATTTGTCATACCTTATTTGCTTACCAGCTAGAAATTGTACTAAAAATGATGGCTTGCTGACTTGTAGACATTTCTCAACATTTGTATATAATCGCTATTTACATCCTTATGCTTTTGGGATAAGTCCATTAGATAGCTAATAGTAGTAGGGGAGAAATCTGGTAGCCAAGGCAATCTTTTTCAAGTCTTAGCCTAAAAATAGTTAATATCTAAATTGGATGATGGCTTTTTTTTTTTTGAAAGAAGCTATAGATGTAGATATCAGTGTTACTCTTGAGGTCAGAACATGGGTTGTAGATATCAGTGTTATTCTTGAGGTCAGAACATGGGTTAAACAAAGAATTTAGAAGTATTCAGTTATGGCTGCTCAACCAAGGGCTGGTGAAGAACAATCTCTTTATTCTTTTAGTAGCTATTTTTTGGGGGTGTTAATTGGTGCAAGGACCTGGAATATTTCAAAGATTCCTAATCATTGGAATCTTACTAATCTAAAAAGATAGTTTCATTCTATAAACTTGAAAATAGTACCAAACCTGTCTTTACTACATGCATGTGCTATTACTACTCACTTTTACAGACTTTTTCACATACATGACACCTATTTCTCTTTGTGCATGTAAAGAAGAGTAGATATATTAAAGCATGAAATTCATTAAACTAGGTAAGGCATGATATGAAGCAAACTAGGGAAACTCAGGAACAGTGGATATAACAATTGAATATATGCACTATTAATATAGATTTAAAAATCTGGATATTTCTAATACTGTTCATAACCTCATTCAGTGAATTTAATCTGACCTCTAGATAACTTGAAAAAATGAGTATGAAATAACTACAGAATACTAGAACATTACTATTTATTATTGCCAAATGACTCAGTGGTAACTTGGAATCAA